TTGAAAAGTGTCCTGAGATAACTTCTGTTATAAATTGGCGCTATACAAATAAAATTGAATTGAATTGAATTGAAAAAAGATTTCCATCCTACAGTGACACAATTCCAATGTTAGTGATGGGGTCCAGCAAGTTTATATGAGGTTCAAATCTTCCAAAGTTAGACTCCTTTCAGTACCAGATCTTCTCTTTGTCTCCTACAATGTGCCTCTGCTGAGCTTCGGTGCTGGGTTAGCAACATAAAGAGAGGAATTTTGTACTGAAGACTAACTTTGGGCGATATGACTTGATTTAGCTAACTCAGACTCAGAATGAAGACTCTAAATCACTAACACTGGAATTACGTTGCGGATGGCTTTGTGGCCAGTATGGAGAACTAAAATTCTTTCAGTGCAATGTACATATAGGTTATTTGAGCGTTGTTATAAGACGGACAGGAATAAAGATGTTTAGGTCAGTCACAGGTTAACAACTCTCTTGCAGTATAATACAAGCTTTTAATAACTACAATCAGTGTTAATGTTGAATCTACAGAAACCTATACTTGCTGATTGGCTCATGCCATTTCTTGTGGAACCAGTAATAATGACTTTGCCATTATTCTCAGTAATTCATGCTCTTACCTCTGTAATCTCTTGCAGGTACTTTCGGAAGTGGTTTGCTTTTCAATCTGGCATACAGAGAGGTATTGACATCAGCAGCAGGCAATGAAAGACTGAATAGTGGTTTGACAATGTGAACACATTCCCTTAATTTTAATACTAGATAGTAATTGAGATGTAAATTATTAAAGTGGAATTGTTTGAATAATTATACTTTGTCTTGGTGTAAAACACATTTCCTAACACACCTGTGCTGTAAATGTGTAAATGCTCTATATTTGCATAAGTTAGCAAACTGATTTGCATATTTACCAGACAGGATGAGAATAAATGGATTCTGTAATACATGTGTCATTGTAGCTTTGATCCTTATGTGCATTAAGGGGACTCATTTCAGGAAAGGAAAGTGAGAGAACAGCCATCTGTTTAGGTTATTTTGGTCTGTGGGTCTCTCTCTTATTCCAACGGTTGTGAAAGCGGAATTGACCTTCTTTACTGATGCATGTATACCCCACACAAAGAATTTGTAGATCACCAGACTTGTAAGAGATTTGTCTTCAACTTAACAATAGACTTACATTTAGACTGATATATTTTCCACTGTGCTTTCTCAACCGTAATAGGGTGCAGTGAAGAGACTGACCTTCTTAGTTTATTCAGTAAGCTGCCGTCATTTTTCTTGATGTCTTGAACAATTTTCTGAAGCTGCCTGGAAAACAGAAAAGTGACATAGTAAAATTAATCTGAATTTAATTCATTCAAATTCTGACAAGGTTTACATTTGAGTTTTGCTTTTTGTAATGGTAAAACATTGTTTCACACTTTTGTTTCTTGTAGATAAAAGTTACCAGATGAAACAGAATGCTTTAACTGACACTGCAAAAATTGCGGTTTCATTCTTGTCCAAAGCACCAAATATAGACATTAGCAAAGCATTAGCAAAAAGCGATATTGTGCCATTGGTCAGCTAAATATCTGCTAGCTAATAACTGAAGTTCTTACCGAATCTTTGCTGTAGCAGGAGCAGCGAGTTTACCTAACGTATCCATATTCATGTTTAATCCAAGAGTTTACATTTTTGGCCCTCATTCCCCTCGTGCATTACGTCTGTGCTGCCAGATTGCTTGCAGAAATGTAAATGAACACTGTGTTTGGCTAAGAGTCACGTCTTTGTCATAGAGGGGAGGGAATTTTTTCTAGCCAGCCACTCAAAGAAAAATCACTTCTCCTTTCCTCTCCCTGTCTCACACACATACTCAAAAACAGATTTCAGTCAACACGCTTTCAACGTCTTACATCACATCTCTCTCGACTCTTTTCAGTTCCACTTGCATTCAGACACTACTACTTTAACTGCTGCTTATAGCAATGTATACATCTGATCACCTGAATGGGGTTGCTGGAGGCAGCCTTTAGGTTAATGTTGTCTTGTTTTTGGAATAACTCTTAGCAAGGTCAGCCATGCTTATATCCAACAGAAATGTCTCTATTGGCTTTCATTTCTTAACATTCCATCATCTGCAAAGAATTGTGCCACTGTTTTAAAAGCATCCTCACTGATATTGTCATTACTGATGTCACTGTTTGACACCGTTTGCACACATACATTTTTAGTTACACATCTTGTTTCGATGGAAGTGTAAGGAGGGTGCATGTTTTTAGCTCTCGACCGGTCTATGTGCAAGGTCATCCATGGTGTAATGGAAAGTACCATGTTGTAATTCTTAGTATTTTCTATATATGACAGGACTACAGTGTGTGTGTGGTCACCACAGGGATTTTTGTTTTAGTTTTTTTTGCGAAATTTATGGCTCTGCCATGAGAACAGTCAGCCACTGAGGAGGAGAAACTAGGAAAATGTGTGGTGTGGTATCAAGAATTAAAAGAATTAAAGAGACAGTTTTTTAAGGAACCAGCTGTGTATGATTCATGATGAGAAAACAAAAAAATCCTTAGTCAGCTTTTAGTCGTTTAGGTCTGTGGCTGCTAAGTTGGAAATTAATAATAATAATAAAAAAAACTTGCTTACGAGAATTTTGAATTCCTGTCACCTTACTTTTCCAGTTCATTCCCTATATGGAGCTGCACTATAAATCCTTGCTATGTCACAGACACAGAGTGAATAAGTGGCAGAAAGTTTGTTTTATTCCTGGTTATGTGAGATAGTTGAAAATATTGTGTTATATAGTAACTGACCTACTGGAGGGGATTACATTTCCAGTCAGATCTAAGTCAGTTGTGTAGCTTTGATAGTTGTGGCAATATATCCAGATCTTCTCGTAGTGTTATGTTAATTTAACTTTCTAAGAAGACCAGTGGACACTCTCAGTGCTACAGCAATAACGTGCAACTTCCTGGTTCAAGTGTATGATTAACCACATAAAAAGAGGAACTGAGAGTATGGGAAGTATGGGAGCCCAGGACTGACAATACCACATACAACAAAATTAAACTGTAATTTTGATTTACATGTTAGCACCACTAGCCTCACTTCTAACCACTTAAACCACTTAAAATGAATGTAAAATACATGATAAGCTCAGTAAAACATTAAAATGGAAACATGGATGGAAACACTTGTTTAAATCATTACAATGTTGTAATGATTTAAACATATAAAATATGTTTTCACATCAAAATGTCAAACATCTATTACTATGTTATATTTTGTTGAGTTGTGTACTTAAATTATCCCAAATGTTTCCAACAATGTACAAACTCATTTATTCAGGTACAGGTTCCAGTCAGAGAGCGAGAAAGGAAGCCAACAAACGTAACCAAACGTGAAGTGAATAAAACTTTAATACACTTTAATACCACGTCTGTGAACAATTTCATGTCTGATGCATTTTCATGAGCAATAGTGGGTGTTTACAAATACAGACAATGCATGATCCCACGCTACTTCACCATGCCAGCCAGCTATGTCTTTTGTTGTTGTTTTGATGTGAGAAATTACATACTGCGCATTTAAAGCTTGTATTTAACCATAATAGAAGGTCAGTATTATTTTCCTTTTAGCAATAACGATGCATTTACAAAAACCTATTTATTTCGGTTTAGTTTCGGTTTCCACTTCACTTTAGATGTAATATTAATGTGAGACACAACAACACACACACAACAAAACACACACACACAAACACGCACATACACATGGGGATACATGAATCCTCACAAACAAGAAGAAACACATGCAGCCAAATGTGCAGGTGCAGTCAGACAGACAAACAGACTCTCACACACAAACATATACACACACAGTAAGTATGTAAGTTTTATATTATATATACATATTACACACAGGCATATATCATATAATAACTCCAGTGTACTAGAATTTATTACTTGGTGATGATGATGATAATAACACTAATAATACTATTATAAGTACTACTATATGTTGAGGGTATTGAATGCTATACAGATTGTAAAGCCCCCTGAGGCAAATTGTGATTGTCATTTTGGTCGACATAAATAAAATTTGACTTGGCCATCCCAGTGGGTATGAATATCACTCTAGATTGTGTGAATAAGTGTTACCATATGTTTTATAACAAAGGGAGATATGAGAAGCAAAGAATGGAAGGAGGAAGGTAAGGTGAGCAGAAAGGACAATAAGATTGAGGTGTGTGATGACAGCGGTATAAAAGTGTTACTTACGGTTGGTGGACGAGACTAAACTTGCTCATGTCATTGTCAGACAGGCTCTGTGAAAGCATCAGAGAAATCAACTGTAAACACATGGTGACAAGTTGAACAAAAATGAGAGACTATAGAGTTCACAAATGACTGTGATTCCTTATAGCAGAGAGATGATACTGTAAGTGTGTCACCTTCCCTAAATACATGCATTGGAGCAGTCATTCTATTTGGGCTGCAGCGTGCATCACCTCTTAGCTTACAGGAGATGGCAGCATATCACTAAGGGCCATTTCAATAGCACACTTTTTTGACTAATGTAACCCTCATCATTCCATCATTCTAAACTAAACCAAAGAAGAAAAGTAGACATACAACATGGGAGCTGCAGGGTCAGAGAGGGTTACAAACATGATATAAATGCATATAATAGATAGAAGCACTTCAGTCTTACAGTTGTAATTTTTGTTGGTTAGATACTGCTCCTCCACGGAGAAGTTACTGGGATTTGGTGCCTTGATAAAGGGCTCAAATATAGTATAATGCTCAAGGATGGGAGATCAAAATGAGATCATTTTATTGATGTACTGCATGTGGCTCATTTAATGCTAAAATGTCCGAGTGACACAAGTTTCTAAACCGACATCTCTCAAAAATATAGCAAAGATAAAAATATGTGTTCTAAGTGCTCTTGCCTAGTTGCCTAGCCTCCATTGGGATTTTTTTTTGTTGTTGTTGCATTTAATGTCTGCTTTGCAGTAAGGCAATTGTTATTCGTAAATGAAAGAAAATGATTACCATAAAATATGCAACAAATCCCTCTAAATTATGTATTTCCCTCTTCATTCATAATTCATTGCTCCAGGTCGTTACTTGCTCTGTCTCTTCTCTGTTTTATATTTGTTGTAATGTAAGGAAGATCCATGACAGCAAATGTTTGTGAAAGTTCGGATATTGTGCGTTTAAGTTTGTAAGATGTCAAATGAACAAATAGAGAGAGGCTTGTGATAAGAGGTTAATGTGTGAGGTATGAGTCTAATATGGCCAGTTAATTTAGATATGAATAATGTATGGCCGGCCCTTTATCTGCAAGGTCTCCTGTGAAACAAATGTAATGATATACGGGTCTGATGCCTACATTCAATTATATAGTGTTTTTTTTTCAAAGCTGTTTATGATTTATATGAGATATTCCACAGGGAGGGGCTTGATAATGCAGCTTACATTACCTTACCTTAATATGGGAACTGTGGTGCAACAAAATCATGTATTACTTCTAGGAATAAGCCCATAGTACAGTGAAAGCAGAGCATGTGATTTAATCATTTGTAAATCAGAGAGAGAGATCACTTAATATGAAAGGCTTTACCTCCTTCAAAGAACTGAACCTTGGCCTCACAGATACACACTTGATCATCCCACTGACTTACAGGAGAAAAAAACGCATCGGTATAAAATCAGACTTAGCCTTTTGACACCGAATAAAATATCAAATAGTCCGCCCCAGTGGATACTCCCAGGCACTGCTCCCACATTGAATTATTTATAGGAGTGTCTGTGCTTGTTCAAATGAGACACAACAGCTCTACAAGCTGCAGCCTCTCCATTGTACTACAAACCAGGAGCCCTCAATCAAAACAGCACTCGGCCACATCTTCATTTCTTTTTTACATTTTTATAACTTACATGCAGTCCAATTAGCATTTGTGGACGAAAACTACTGTCCCCATGGTCCAGTCTTTTTCTAGCTTGAATTCTTTTCTGCAGTTGAGTGATTTGTGTGAAAATCAATGAATGTGCTTGCCAAATTCTGAGCTGAAGATTATTTGAATGAATGCTTCACCAGTCCTTAGTTGGTAGTATTAGCAAGGCTGCGACTCTACAGTCAAGCTAGAAGCTCTCTGAGGCCATATTTAAAGGCCCAGTGTTAAGGATTTAGTGGCATCTAGCAGTGTAGTTGCTGATTACAACACCCTTGCATCACCCTCCCATTCCAAGCGTATAGAAGAAACTACGGTGGTGGAATTTTTTGCGGAAAAGTGTGAAAGGCCCTATCTAGAGCTAGTGTTTGATTTGTTCTGGGCTACTGTAGAAACCCGGCGGTTCAACATGGTGGACTCACCACTCACCCACAATATCTCATTCTAAGGTAAAGAAAGCACAACAATGCTTTCAGGTGATAATACACAAATGAAAACATAGCTATGAATATTATATTCCAATAGATTCCCGTCAATGTTACACACAGGACCTTTAAGCACAGCTTGATCTAAATGTTAAAATGCTCTAACAATGCTAACATGCTGTTCCTTAGCAGGTACAATACTTACTGTGTTCACCATCTTACTTTAGTATGTCAACATGCCAACATCTGCTAATAAGCAGTTAACACAGTACAGCTAAGGCTACTGGAAACAGTTCTGCAGATATTTTGAGACCAAAGTACTGGACAAACTACAAATCTGACCTGCTGCTGGCACTGCATGGGAAGTCAGTCTCACCAAGGTCATCAGGATTCATCTTTTGATCATGAATGTCTGCACCAAAATCCATGGCAATCCATCCTGTAATTGTTCAGTCTGAACTAAAATGATGGACCACCCGAATGACAGACCAACATTGCTGTCCCTACTTATTGCTAAAGAGACATTCTAGGCTGGACAAAGATTGCCAGGATTGTTTCTTCTGTCTAAAATGATTACATATAAAAGATTAGTTTTTCCTACACTCTTCACAGTCCGTTCTCATTCCCAGGTCATCAAATACAGCTGCAAGTGGTGTTCAGTTAGTTGCAATAAGCAAATTCACCACTTCATGCCACTAAATCTTACAGACTGGTTCCTTTAAATCGTAGTACCTAAAACAAACTAATTAATTCTAACTCATTATGCAAAACATAAGCATGCTAACAATGACTGGTTCAAAGAGGTCTGTGCTGTAGGACACCTCTTCAGATGTTGTGCAAGATCACCTTAAGCCCAAACATTCAAAAATCCCTGGTTACAGCTGCCAAACCTTCAAGCACATAACCTTTAAAGTACACACCTTTTGTAGCTTTTCAGCAAGAGTTCAGAGTCAGTGTGAAATCTCAGTTTCACCCAAAAACAGGCACATGGACGACCACTTTTTGTTTCGGTCGCATGTGGCTGTCTGTTCTGTTTGAATGGCAAGCAGCAAGCGGAGGGGTTGAGGCATGGAACATTTGTTAATGCTCTTCTTTGAAATGAGTTTCATTTCACGATAGAAAGAGCAGCTTCGCAGCTACATGCCCACAAAATTACCTTTGGTTCTTTCCCAGCAGCTGTGCAACGTCTCATGACTGTCGTTAGGTTAGAGACTTTCCACATGTTCACAGATCTACACTAAATGTTCCAAAATCACAAGTGTAACAAGCTAATTATGGTTTAAAGTGTTTTTCTCCTTTAAGACACAAATAGTGCGCTCTGTTTCCTTTATAATCCATTACAAAGGGACTGTGGCAAAATTCAAATTAGATCTTGTGAGGCTAGAATTGGACTACATTAGCACCTAGTCTCTGTTGAAAATTACATTTGCTCTTTCTCTTTTGCCTATATACATTTTACAAAGCTCCTTTTTTAAGCACATATTTGTATTTCTGTGCATGCCTGATACCACCAACAAGGTAAGCATGTGATATATATGAGTGCATAGGCTGTCCTTTACTGAGTAGCCTTTGTTTGTAGTGTTGATGTCATCACAGGCAGGAGTTGAAAGTGACATCCTCGCTCAGCAGCTACACACAGACAGCGTCACAAAGATAGAGGCTGACAGTTCTTTTGATCTACTACATATCTCTTTTAACCTGTCTACCTGTGTGAGCGAACGTGGCATCAAAAAGATGGAGATTGCCTTTATCTACACTGCGCCGACTGACTGTCATTCCCATCCACACTGTAGTGTACAGCCACCCACCACTCAGACAGAATTAGATTGTTCCTTTTTTTCACCGCTCATTCTTACCACTGTGATGAAGAGATGTTGTAGGTGTAATGTGAAGAAGGTGCATTCGAGGCAGAGCCCGTTGTTGTCTTATGAGAACAGTTTAAATCTGCGTTGCCTACTTACTTGAGGATTTTATGACCTTTGCTCCATCTACTGTATAAACATCATATGAATATGCAAAGTAAGCCAAAGGCAATGCTCAGCAGCACGCTGGCTGGATGACATTCAGAGCCCACAGTACAGGCCCTCTCTGGCCTTACACACATGCTGAGTTACTGATGAGTCAAACTGAACTTATCATAAATAATTATTCTTCATTTTCTGCTGTATCTCTGGCTGACTGCTGGCCTACATAGGTTTAAGAAAAATGTTTGTGATCACGCATGTTTAATAAATTCTCAGGGATGCCTCGTAGTAGCATTGGTGCAGAAATGTATTATAAATTTAAAGATCCCCTTCAGACATGTTTTAAGACATATACAAATATTCTCCTTTTAAAAAAAGAAGTTCAGGACAAGATGTCACCTACTTTACTGAAAACTCCATTCTCAATCTTTGTGTCCTGGAGGTTTCCATATCACTTGTGTACGGACTCAAATACTGGACCATGATTGGTTGCTAAACTAATTGTTATGTCACAAAAGCATGCTTGTATGTACATGTGAAAGACAAACTTTGCTGCTTCAGATGATGATAAAAACTGTCAAACAGAGTGTGTGGTTTTAAGAAAGCATGTTGTAATGTAAATACAAATAAATATCTGTTTTAGTTCAATCAAATTTATAACATAACTGTGATCCAACCTTCTAAAGCATCAAAGTTTACAGTTGCTGTTGTAAAATCCTCTTGCAACAGGAAGTGACATTTCATTGCCAGAGACAACAGCAGCTTGTTTGTCAGAAATAGAAGAGGAACTGGATAGTTCCAATGAGCAACAACACTCATAACTGAAGAGGTAAAGAGTGCCACCTACTGAAACTCACTTCTTCATCAGCAAATCCAAGATAAAACATCTCATACTTACAGTAATGACTTTTTAGTTTTTTTTTAGATGTTAAAACAAAAATCTATGAGGATGCAGATTGCAGATTAAACACCGCTCTGTCTAAAACACATGGTGTGGTAAGGACAAGGTACAAGGACACACACTTTATATACACAGAAGGCTCTCTCATGACAGTATAATGGTCAATCAATCAGCTAACTCAGTAATTCTCCATCCTCTCTGTCATATCCCCCTTCAGAAGAGCACTTTTATTTGTTTATGTCACCACATTAATACAACTTTAGGTTGGCTTAGCATTTATCCTCCTGGTAATCGTTTTTTTCTTACCTGCCCAGGGACAACAGATGCACATTAGCTGTTAATTCTGGTGCAATTACTTTTAACTGTGCGCTGTCCCTGCAAAAATAAAAAGTACTACAGTAGCTTTACAACCCCACAGGGGGCCCTCTCAGGGTTTGAGGACCACTAACTAACTATTTGTAACTAACTACAAATGTTCAGAGGTGGAAAAAGTACACACATCCTTTACTTAAGTAGAAGAAGAAGATACCTGTGTAAAAATAGACTCTAGTAAAAGTAGCACTGATTCAACTTCTTTACTCAAGTAAAAGTGAAAAAGTACAGGCTCCAAATAAACTCATAGTATCAAAAGTAAAAGCTACTTTCTGGTTTCTTTGAAGGACATTTCTACCAGCTCTTTCTGTGCAAAGCTAACTGAAACTTTGAATAGGATATACAATATAGTGGAGGGGGGTTGGGTTCCTCCTCCCCAAAATGTTATTTGACTACAGACAGTGCATTTTGACATAATTTTAGATCATTATCATTATAATATTTAAAAAAACACACAGGTGATAGTTTTTCACATTACTGATTTATAATTTATTTATATATAAATATAACTAAATATTGTTTCTAGAACAGCAACAACAGCAAATTCACTATATAAACTCAATGATATCTCACTGGAAATAAATCTAAAATGTCTGTAAAATAAATCATATTTCTGACACATAGACACCAGTCAGTATCAGTCCTTCCTCCTGTCCTCTCAGATTAATGACAAACCAACACTTAGACTGCAGACAGACAGCTTTATTCATTATTAGATTAACAAGAATGGTCGTCAAGTCAAGTAAACTGCACCGCGTCTTTCTGTCTGTCTGTCTGCTCTATGTGTGTGTCTGGAGCTGAGCTTTGCCCTCTGTTTTGCAGACAAGAGGAAAGAGAAGCGCGACCATAAAGGAAGCAAAATGTGGTAACACTAGGCCCTGAACACTGTATGTATGACTATTATGATCCTTAGGCTGTTTTGGTGCCCTGCAGACAGTGCATCATGCAAGGTGAGTGTTTGGGTGTGTAGCGCAGTGCTGTAATCAATAATTCCTCTCATATATAATAAAACTAAAAGTACCAAGCCTGTTTTGCAAATGTAAGGAGTAGAAAGTACTGATATTTGTGGAAAACTGTAGCGAGTAAAAGTAAAAAGTTGTAAAAAAAAACACACCTGGAAAAACGTATACAGTAGAGGTAGGAAGTACAAATAATGTGTTATCTCCCACCTCTGCAAATGTTGTTAAATTGACTTTCACTTAATTTATTACTATAATACCCGATTCAATATTAATCGATCCATCATTACACATGTGCTTGCATGCAGTAGATGTTGTCACTTAAGAACTAACAATGACAACCTGCTGGTGGTGCTAAATTAAAAGTCAGGGGTAGGTAGTCACCAAGTACGCTTCATCCTTCGCGGAGCAGAAATATCTGTACACGATTTTATAACAATCGATCTAATAGTTTTTGAGATATTTCAGTGCTGGACCGACTGATTAGTATGCCTGCAAAGCACACTTGACTAGTTTTTTCCTCGGCTTATTATATCTTCCGTCATCGTTTTCGCCACTACTCCTCCCGCAGGCGTGTTGATCGCAGCTACACAAAAAAGGGCTTACCAAATTTTGCGGCTCGGGTGAGGACCTTAGTGCTGCTGGACGTTTCTAAGCGTTTTTCGCCAAAACGGGGTTTTGCCGATAGAATCGCCCAAAAACCGCGGCGCCAAAAAATGACATGAGTTGTGTATTGGAAGAAGGTATGGAACGCTGACAATAAACTGCCGTTTCATTTAGAGGTGGAGCGGGGGAGGAGGAAAAATTGTGTCGAAAATAAATTTGTAAACTGCTCTCGCAAGGCCACAAGATGCTTCACTCTACAGAAAATAACTTTATAGATAAAAACGTAAGGTTAAAATTCGTTTGGGGGGTCGCCGGGGGTGACTACCACTTGCCTGAAGGCGCTGTCAGGACACAAATGTCTTTTTGGCCGGGGAAACGCACAGCTGCGCCAGCAAACACCCTCTTCACGGCCCATCTACTCCCCATGTTAATTGGGAGAGGAGGAAAGTTTGAAAAGGAGCTCGTTGAGACCTGTTGCTTTCTCAAACCACCGGAGCGCTGCACATTTTTAACTTTATGGCCACTGAAACTCGGCCAGTCCTATGTCAACAGGACGGCATGACGGGATGCTCACGGTCTTTTCGGTTTTCTCCATTTCGGTCGTTTCCTGGTCCACGCGTTTCGGGGGGAGTGGGTTCATTTATACATGTTTCGTGTTCTTTCTCAAGAGGTTCTCAAGTCTGCTGGTCTCCCCTGGTTGCCACGACAACCAAGAGCCTGCCTGCTGAAGCAACAACATGTAACACGCACACACATAGCCTACAGAGGGAGTGAACCTATGATTGGTAGCTGGCCTAGCTAAGAATAATGATCATGGTATTTAAGCACTCATGGGCCAGGAGCAGGCACACTCCATCTTTAGGAATTTTCTAGTTAACATTACCATTCCTAGAGCCACGCTGTTACCAAAGTCTTCAGAATTGATCCTCTGGGAACCTTGAATATTTGCCGCAAATTGCATGCCAATCAATTACACAGCTGAACCATATATGTCAACCTTGTCGCGTCACTAAAGGAAAAGTCCGGTATTTAAAAAAATCTTCATGCCAATCCGTTCAGTAGTTATTGACATATTTCAGTCTGGATCTAAGTGGTAGACATTATTGCCATAGAGTCGCAGCAAACAACAGTAAACACAACTAGGTGGAAAACATTTTTAATTGATACTGTATAACTGTGAATGTCTATCAGACTCTGCAGCCTTGAAGCTGGTTGAATTCAAGTGTGCACACCCAGTGGTTCAGCTAGGTGAAATATTCTTGTTCAATACTGCATGGGTTTATCCAACCTTAATAGAGGCCAGGTGTGCTGGCTGTCTGTAGCTAGGGGATCTATCAATCAATACACATACTGTATTTATATGTATTTTTCAGATCTAACTTGCACATCAAAGCCTCTGCTCTGTAACATAACATTCATTTTGACCGATAAAAATCCACAGCGAGCATATTTGAGGGGAGATAAGCCTGTAAGATATAGGGGAAATATTTCAATGATGCAATATCCCACCTGAAATAGAATCAGTTCAGGGTCAGTGAATAATGAATAGAAGAGTAGATTGTTGCTCTCATTTGTTCGCGAGGCAACAAGTGTTTTTAAGTGGCCATTAGAAAGATGCATATGAATGGAAGCTTCCACAGGCACGAAATGCACAGGAGGTACGACTGAGATATTATTAGAATCCCTTACAATAATATCAGGAAATTATAAACCCATGCTTCAGTTATTTAACTGCACAAAATCCTCTTTAAGCAGTTCCCCCCACGCCCATGACTGTAGCAGATTTAATGATACTTACTTAAATAAGTAGGGATCACAGCTTTATTAGCCCTAAGTCTCATTTCACACTTCTTACTCTCTCCCAAACTGACACACTGACAGTTTTCACCTGCACGCAATGTGTCAGCATGCGTCTCAGGAACATTGTCATGCCCTCGTAGATTGCACACCCAATGTGGATAATGGAGACAAAGCAATAAGTCATATCAAAGCAGAAGTTGCAACTGATGTACTCACTTCCATATTAGGAGGGCCGCTGATTACACACCAAAAGAGTGTGGGAAGTACTATGTGTATGTGAACACTTCACACGTTTCATATCCTGTAAAATCTCCCCTGTTTTTCAACCTTGGACATTTGTACAGGACTTAATGTTCATAGTAAAGTTTATTCTTTAATTTATTAAACATATATAATTTTTAAAGGTTTAGGATTTATCTATATCTAAAAAAACAAAAACAACTCCTGCAATCTCATTTGACTTTAAAGAATGAAAATGTTGCAAATGTTAAGCATTGTAAACTGGACTTTCACTTTCAGATTTATAGTTGTTTAAACAGGCACAAATAGCTCAAGGAGATGTAATTATTCTGCTGTTTTTAATACCATAATCATAATAATAAATTCTAGGGAGGATTTGTAATTTTATGTAATTAGAATAACGAACTGAACACAACCACAACCCAGATATGATCCTGAACGGATTAGTAGATTATGTAACTGCAAGAGGGACAGAACGAGCATTTCCTGGAAAATTCAGGTGAAGGAAGGAAAATGAAGGGATTAACTCACCAAAAGTCTCTTTCCATCAATTTTCAGTCTGTTTATAGTGACAGCACACTCTTGCATTTTGTTCTAAGGGCAGTAAACACATATTGATTTAGTTTCGTGAATGAACAACACAGATTATGCCATTTTAGCATCTACTAGTTTCCTGTTTTTGTATTTTTTTCTTGTACTCACCTTGCACATAAAGAGGGCTAGTTGAGACGGGTCCCACCCCTCACACTCCTCTCTGGACGGCAGGTTCATTTTTTTCTCAACAGAGAGCCTCTGAGCAGGAGTGTGCTTTTGGAAGTACAGTCATAGACTGACCCGTCACGCACCGCGGCTCCAACACACCGGCCTGCCACAACAGGGAGAAGTACACACAGGGAAGTCACCTCATTGAAACCAACACATATCTCCGTCTTCTCCTCCATCCATAAGTAATGTGGCAATTCGTGGTATTTAAAAAAATCTAAACCTGTCCCCAAGATTGCATTAAGGCATCTGCAAAAGGGAAGAAGGGACTTCCTCAAAGTGACTCTATATTAAAGTCTTCGGAAACAAAAGTGTCATAATAGAGTGTGTGGCTTTACTTTTACCTCCCAGCTCGGGAATTCACTTCATTTACAGGCAGAGTGTGTCATTTATTGTACATTTATTTTTATATCAAGATTTGATCATGTTTAAGGTTGTAAGACTATTCGGACCGTAGTAGTGAGGGAAATGATTGCTGAAGTGGTAATAATAGCCGCACTATCTGTAATGAAAGTCATGTGTAGAGAGTGTGTTCATTCAACTTTTGGAAATTTAACGAAGACAGGAAATTGGGTGTTTTTTGTTGACTAGCATCTCTGATACAAGAAATATGACTGTGATCAGGCATGTCGGAGAAAGAGAGATTTAAAAATATGATAAAAAAGACTTCAAATTAAATGAATTTTTCAGTTTTATCAGATTGAGACATGTACTGTTGGCGATAACAAAGCCGTACTGGAAAATTTGAAAATTCAAATATTACTTTCGGATATATCAGTCAGTATTTAAAATGTGAGTACCGGTAAGTCAGTGTGTGGACGTCTCAGGCTCAGAAGAGGTACAGACAAGTATCTACCTTTAAATTTAAAATGGATATTAAAGGAATAGTTCAACATTGAGGGAAATATGCTTATTTGCTCTCTTACAGGGAATACAAAGCAATCCCTTACAGCCAAAAGGAGAAGAACAAGGATTTGTGTTGTCAGGTAACATAAAAAAAAACGTACCCATGGACATTCAGGGAAAGTTTGCCAAGATATGCTGTTGCTGTGATGTTAGCTATAGTAGCGGGAGTGTGCTGGCTCTGGGAAACTATCTTGTCTTCTCTGTATGTTAGCTGTGCAGCAGCAACCTTAGCGACAATATGCAAATCCACAACAAAGCTAATGTTAGTTACATTACTTGCTGTGTCATTTGCATTGCATAATTTGCATTACATCATCGTATGTGTCATGGTATTGAATATTTCCACAAGCTTTTAAAGTGCTGGTGGATTTTGTCAGCCAGGCTAACGTTCTTGTACCATCTTGCTGAGAATTGAGGAGCGGGCATTAAGTATAGCTGGTTAGCTTAGCATAAAAACTGGAAGCAGTGTGTGACAGCTAGCCAGCACCTCTAAAGCTCACTAATAAACACGCTGTATCTTGTTTTATTACACAAACAGAATCTTAAAACATACAAAAGTATTGGTTTTACGTGGAGTTACATGTTGTAATAGTTTCTTTTTTAATGGTGGCTGGGTGCTGTGACCTCAAACTAAGATCACCTCCTGCCTCTAGCTCCATACTTAATGCACGCGTCAGGCATCGAACATATTAAGCAAAAGCAAATAAGTTGCTAATCTATTCTAGTTAAGGCAGGAACTGATGATGATGTATGATTGAATAGCGATTTTTCATGTTCTGCTTGAGGTTTTTGCTCAACTACAGAATTGTCCCTTTTCCAGATGGACAATTGCAATAACTTAATTTTCTACATTTTCCATGAATTTTTCAGTAATGTGGGCTGAAATGGTTTGATGCTCTTATTACCCAACAGAAAACTCCCAAGAACACACTTCCCTAACACATGCATATAAATGAAACACATTGCAGCAAGTACATCCAGTAAAACAAAAGGAAACCATTGCTTCTTTTTATATCACTTTTTTTT